AAACGATGGGAAGAATTAAGCAAACAGAACACTCAATTCATCAATGCCTTTTCCAAAGCACAATGTATTAAAACTGTCAAAAGTTAATGTCATGGAGATCAGATGCATTAGAGAGAGAGAGAGAGAGAGACAGAGAGAGAGAGAGAGAGAGAGAGAGAGAGAGAGAGAGAGAGAGAGAGAGAGAGAGAGAGAGAGAGAAAGACTGCTGTATACATGAAAATTTCTTTCATGTGAATTTAATGGCAACTACACATAAAACCCAAAACTGAGACACATAACTTAGAAGAAAGAGGAAATAGAGGGAAAAAATATGAACTACCACCACCAAACAAAAACAACAGACAGGAACACAAGGAAAAAAAACAAATAGTGGAGGCACAGAGCTACTAGAAAACAAAAGATAAAATGGCTATAGGAAATCCTCATACATCAAGAATCACCCTAAATGTATTGCACATGATGGGAATTCACCAATAAAAAGGCACAGAGTAGCAGATTGGATCAAAATCAAAATCCGAGGTAACTCAAAAGATTAAAGGTGGATCTGCTTTATGACCCAGCGATTCCACTTCTCCACTTCTGGAAATTTATCTGAAGAAACCTGAAGTGTTAATTTGAAAGCATATATGCACCCCTATATTCATTGCAGCATTATTTACAATAGCCAAGATTTGGCTAGTTCCATCAGTAGATGAGTGGGGGGAAAAGTTGTGGTACATTTACAGAATGAAATACTACTCTGTCATAAAAGGAAGAAAATTTTACCCTTTGCCTCAACATGTATAGACCTGGAGAACATTATGATAAGTGAAATAAACCAGTCAGAGGGAAAACAGTACAATATGATTTCACTAATATATAGAATTTAATAAACAAACTGAACTATTAAGCAAAACAGAGACTAATGGAGGGCAGGCAGATAGCTCTGAGAATGGAGATGTTAGTAGAGTTAGAGAGATTGAGAAAAAAAGAGAGAGAGAGAACTCATGAACATGGCTGACAGTGTGGGGGGCTGGAGTGGGTAGAAATGGAAGAGGGCATAGATGGGGATAAATGATGAAGAAAAAAATAAAATAATATATATTTTTTTAATCCAACCATAGCTCCAGCTGGTTTGGCTCAGTGGATAGAGCATCAGCCTGAGGACGGAAAGGTCTCAGATTCAATTCTGGTCAAAGACACATGCCTGTGTTGTCAGCTTGATCCTCAATAGGGGGTGTACTGGAGGCAGCCAATCAATGATTCTCTCTCATCATTGATGTTTCTATCTCTCTCACCCCGTCCTTTCCTCTCTGAAATCAATAAAAATATATTTTAAAAACTGAATCATATGCTTCTTTCAGGAGACACATCTAATTTGCAAAGACAAATATAAACTCAAAGTGAAAGGATGGAAAATGATTCTCTAAGCAAATAGCATCCACAGAAAAGCAGGTGTAGCCAATGCTTATATCCAACAAAATAGATTCCAGGATGAAAAAGGACTAAGAGTCCAGCTGCGGTGGCTCGGTGGTGGAACATAGACCTATGAACCTGAAGTTCATGGTTCAATTTCTGGTCAGGGCATGTATCTGGGTTGTGGCGGTGTGGGGTGTACAGGAGGCAGCTGAGCAATGATTCTCTCTCACCATTGATGTTTCTATCTCTCTCTTTCTCTTCTTTCCTTCTGATATCAATCAATATACTATATATATACATATATATATACACACTATATAGTATATATACTATATAATATATATATATTATATATATATATATATATATATATATATATATATATATATATATATATATATCTGAGGATGTGGAAAATGGAACCCTATTATTTAGCTAGTGGGACCGTAAATGGAAAAGTTGCCATTTTGGAAAAATAGTTTTGTGGCTCCCCCAAAAGTTGAATATAGAATTACCATGTCAGAAATTTCACCCTAAGTTATATATCCCAAAAAGCTGAAAAAGTTATTCATACAAAACATGTACATCGATATGCATAATAGCACTATTCACAATAGTCAAAAGGAAGCAATAACCCACATCTCCATCAATGAATGAATGTGTAAACAAAAGGAGCTATATCCATATCCAATGGAATATTAGCCAAACATAAAAAGGAAATAACTGTGATACTGTGAACCCTGAGATTAAAACACCCCTACTAAGAAGGGCTCTTGGTGGCTAACTGGGCTCAAATAAAAAATAATAATAAAAATAAATAAAAAATAAAAAAGCAGAGGTGCAGCAGCCGTTTCTTTCTCTTTTTTTAAAATATATTTTATTGATTTTATACAGAGAGGAAGGGAGAGAGATAGAAAGTTAGAAACATCGATGAGAGAGAGTCATCGATCAGCTGCCTCTTGCACACCCCCTACTGGGGATATGCCCACAACCAAGGTACATGCCCTTGACCGGAATTGAACCCGGGACCTTTCAGTCCCCAAGCCAACGCTCTATCCATTGAGCCAAACCGGTTTCGGCAAAGCCGTTTCTTCATAGCACCACTCATGCAAACTACACTTCACTGAGAAACCTCTATGCTAACTGCCTGCCTCTGTCTTAAATTGCCTGCCATCTGAGCCAACCCCTATGAAGGTATCCTGGAATCCTACTTCAACCAATAGGATGGAGGCTTCCCCACCCAATCAAAGATGCACAGTGTCAACCAATCAGATCAGCTATATTTTGACCAATCAGAATAGTGCCTTCTGGGGCAATCAAACAGGGAGTATTTGGCATCCTCATTTGCATAAGAATGGACCTATCAAAAACCAGGATGGGGACTTCTGTCCATATAAGCCAGCTACTTTTCCTTCTAGAATGAAGACTGTCTCCCTGGCTGAGCAGAAGCAGAGCAGACCATTGAGGAGCAGAACAGAGATGTCTACCCCAAGAGTGGCCTGGCCCCAGGGCTGTCCTATAGCTGTGCTTTCACAGTTATGCTGTATCAAAATTGGGCTGTATCAATCTTACTTCTTTCACAGCTGTGTTGTGTCACCATTGAAATATTTTCATTAGTAAATAAAGTTTCCTTCTTCACCAAACTGGGAGCTCCTGTTGGCCCCAAGGACCACCAGTTGACAATGCATGCTACAACATGGATGAATCTTGAAAGCATCATTAGGTGAAGGAAACGAAATTATAGGGTAACAAAAATGATCCTATTTTATGAAATATTCAGAATAAGCAAATCCATAGAGACAGAAGACAGATAAATGATTGCCAAGGTCTGGAGGTGGGAGCAACTGTTTAGTTAGTACAGTGTTTACTTTTGGGGTGATGAAAATATTTTAGAAATATTTTAGGAGTGATGATCACAACTCTGAATATACTGAATGTCATTGAATTGTACACTTTGGTTAAAATGGTCAATTTCATGTTTTGTGAATTTTACCTCAAGACAAATTATTTTAAATGTCAAGTATTTATATATATATTATTGATTTCAAAGAGGAAGGGAGAGAGAGATAGAAACTACCAATTATGAGAGAGAATCATTGATCAGCTGTCTTCTGCACACCCTCACTGGGGATCGAGCCCAAAACCTGGGCATGTGCCCTTCACCAGAATCAAATCCAGGATCCTTCAGTCCACAGCTTGATGCTCTATCCACTGAGCCAAACCAGCTAGGGTTCAAGTAATATTAAATATACTAGAGGCCCAGTTCATGAAAATTCATGCACTAGGTCTGCCCCCTCTCACAGTCCAGAAACCCTAAGGGGTGGGAGGTAACCAACAATCAGGGAAGGCAACACTCCATCACACCTCTGCTGCTGCCACTGCCAGCAGGGCAAGTCTCGGTAGGCCCTGGTTATCTGAGCCTCGGTTGGCCCTGGGCAGCTGGATAGCTATCATCTGAGGCTTGCCTGCACTCTGGGCCAGCCCTGGCTGACTGGGGGCTGGGGTGACTGGGCAATGCCATCTTGTGGCTGTGAGAGCATCGAAGTCAATTAGCATATTCCCTCCTTATTGGCTGTGGACACCACAATATTTGTGAAGATATTATGGTCAATTAGCATATTCCCTCTTTATTAGATAGGATATTATTTTTTGGTTGTTAATTCTCACCTGAGGATATTTTTTCCATTGATTTTTAGAGAGAGTCACATCAGGATTGGGGGAGAGAGAAAGAGAAACATTGATGTGAGAGAGTCACATCGATTGATTGCTTCCCGCAAACTTCCTGACTAGGGCCTGTGATTGAATCTGCAACTCAGGTATGAGCCCTTTACCAGGAATCAAACACACATCCTTTCGTGCATGGGCCAATGCTCCAACCACTGAGCCAAACTGGCCAGGGCTAAATCTATATTCTTCAAAATTAAGTAAATTGTTCTCTTTTGAAGCCTTTTGTATTTCATCTCAAAATTTTCATTATTTTTATTTCACTGTTCATAATTAATTTTATAATGAAAATGTATATTAATTGTCATTTTATTCATTCTTTTTTTATTGCAGTATGATTGACATAACATTAGTTTCAAATGTACAACAGATGGCTTGATATTTATATATATTGCAAAATGATCACCACAATAAGTTTAGTTAACATCTGTCATTATACATAGTTACTAAATTTTTTAAATTCTTGATAAGGACCTTTATGGTTTACTTGCACAGACACTGTCAAATATGTAATACAGTATTACCAACTATAATTGCCATGGCATACATATATATCCTCATGACTTATTTATATTCTAAGTAGAAGTTTGTACCTTTTGACTTCCTTCACCCATTTCAACTGCCCTTCACCCCCTGCCTCTGGCAACTACCAATCTATTCTTTGTATCTATGAGTTAATTTTTAGATTCCACATATAAGTAATAGCATTCAGTATTTGTTTGTCTGTCTGAATTATTTTATTAGCAAAATTTATTCATTTCTCTTTAAGCTTTTACTTTAATTTGTTTATAAGTGGTCACTCAGCTCCAGTGAGGATGGGGGAGGAATGAGGTGCAGAATGGACAGGGCTGAGCCTGGGGGCAGGCCCAGGCACTTACCTGTGCCTCCGGTTGCTTTAAAGATCAGCGATTCATTGGATGGGGCCTTGCTCATCTTTTTGACGACATGTTCCATGTTGAGGAGCAGGTTAGTGGCCACATAGTTCTGATCTGAGTGGGGCCAGGTCTCCAGGTCCCCTGGGCTCTCCAGCAAGTCATCCACCTCCTGTATGAGATCCTGGGGGTATGGACACAGAGCCATTGGCCCATGCACTAGAGGGGCTACAGGAAGACTTTGCCTACTCAGCTCCAGCAAACAGATTCTAGATACTGTGTATTTGGGTGGTATCAGATTGCCCCTGCAATCCAGCCATGTAGAGGTCAGTCCTGTTCATGAATGCCAAGGGTGATGAAAACTGAATGGGCAGGAACAGCAAGAAAGGTGTTAGTTGGCCAAAACTGGTTTGGCTCAGTGGATAGAGTGTCGGCCTGTGGACTGAAAGGTCCCAGGTTCGATTCCGGTCAAGGGCATGTACCTTGGTTGAGGGCACATCCCCAATAGGGGGTGTGCAGGAGACAGCTGATCAATGTTTCTCTCTCATTGATGTTTCTAACTCTCTATCCCTCTCTCTTCCTCTCTGTAAGAAATCAATAAAAAATATATTAAAAAGAAAGAAAGAAAGAAAGAAAGAAAGAAAGAAAGAAAGAAAGAAAGAAAGAAAGAAAGAAAGAAAGAAAGAAAGAAAGAAAGAAAGAAAGAAAGGTGTTAGTTGGTGTCTGAAGATCTAACAGTGAGTGCAAGTACCTGCATGTCTGCTTTCCCCACCCACCCTAGGAGAAGAGGAGACTCAGAGCAGGGCACCACTATGCCTCTTCCCAAACCAAGGCTTCCCCAGTTCTCTATGGGATGTCTCCACTGCAACCCCAAGGTCCTGTCCTTACCTGGATATTGTCTGGATCTGAGGCTGACTTGAAGTCTCTGTTCAAATCATTAAATTTTTGTGCCAAGGGGAAGAGCCTCTGGGGAGAAAGGAGATGTGATGGTCAGAGAGTGTCACAGGTAGATGGGGAAAGTTGGGGAAAATAGGTGGGTGCTGAAGGTGGCATAGAGGTATTTCCTGCCTTTGTCCCTGCGGAAGTCACTCACCTTGCTGTTGTTGACTCTAGGGTGTGCATTCCAGTTGGGGAAGATCCCTGGTGCAGACAGAAGGGCAGATCATTAGATGTATGTGAGTGTGTGTGTGTGTGTGTGTGTGCATGTGCGTGTGTGTGTGTGTGTGTGCATGTGTGTGTGTGTGTGTGTGTGTGTGTGTGTGTGTGTTTTGGGGGTAGGGCTGGGGACCCATGCCAGGTTCCTTCCCAGATTGTCGTTTGGTAATTTGCAGACCCTGAAAATAGAAGCACCTGGGAGGTTCCACTGTTCCCCCTTCCCTTAGTGGGCACTTTTTCCTATTCACATGGAAGCCTCATAGCATAATAATGTGATGGCTTGGATGCTCTTTTGTCCAAATGTGGATGGAATTAGCCTGAGTCTGCTACCCCCAGTTCCCTAAATTTCCTGGGAAGTTCCATATCCATAGGGGAACATCACAGGTACCTGGGTCCCAGCCTGAACATTTAGACAGAGGATTCTCACGAGAATCCAGGGCACTGGAAATGCTGCATTTCCTGGTCACGACCTGACTTGCCTCCCAGTGATAGCCTTAGTTCTCATTTCCCAAGAAGACTGAGTTCTCCTTGGAATCCCATTGATGCTGTCAAAGCCATGCTGTCCCTTCCACACTAACACTAAGACATCTTGATAGAGATGATCCAAGAACTGCCCTCGTTACAGACATCCCTTCCCCCAACCTCCCCCACTCCCCACTCCCGCTCCCAAGAATGAGGCTATAGGGCAGAGGGCAGGGAGAATGAAGAAGATGCTGGACATCTTCTTCATTCTCCCTGCCATCCAGATAGTGACATCAAGATAGTGACACCAAGTCCAGGTTGGACACTAGGAGCTAACCTCCAGTCACTCATCCCTGCGTACTTTTCTTGACTCCCAAAAGGCATTTCCCTGGACTGGCAGCAAGTGTTGAGAATCCTTCTCTGAGGAAGACCAGTGAAGGTGAGGGTTGGCTGGCTGGAGAGGGAGCAGGGTCTGATGGGTGAGGGGCAGCAGATGTTTCTATTCTCTGGCCCCTTAACATCCCAACCAGGACACAGACCTGGGTTCTTCCCTGAGTAAATCCATGGTCCCTGAAGATCATTTCCTTTGGAGTCTGGTTCAGATTGAGTCCATGGTCCCTGAAGATCATTTCCTTTGGAGTCTGGTTCAGATGGGAGTCTCTCCTTTTGAGTTGAGTTTACAGGAGTGTTTTTGTTTGGTGGGGTCCATGTCATGTTGTCAAGACCTGAAACAACATTCTTCTGGGTCCTCAGGTCATGAACTGAAATTTTTGGGAAGGGTAGGGAAGTTCCTTGTGTAGGAACATCGATGGAGGCTGAGTAGATAAGAATTGGGGTCAGGGTGCCAGGGTTGTTGGCCAGGGATAGAGCTGGCTAGGGAAGGTGAACTCCCCCTTGAATCTCCTTACCCCCTTGTTCCTGGACAAGATCCTTGAATCCATTATTGCCTGGGAGGTCCGAGAGTCTATCTGTAATGTTTGAGATCACAGTGTCTCTGGTAGGAAAAGTTCTCGTTCTGGAAGTCACTGGTGATGACAAAGAAGACAGATACTGCATTGGAACACAGAACAGTGAGCTCTTGAAGCAACTTAAATGTCATCACTCTCTCGAAAATAAGATATCAGGTGGGTGGAGAGGAGGGTTCCAAACATCCAGAAGTGACACTCTGAGGAGAGTTCTCAGCCTTGAGGTATGGAGAGGGTGGGTGTCCAGGACAGCTTTTTAATGTTTTTGTTGTTGTTTCTTTTATGCCTCAGATAGTGAGTCAAATGACCTCATATCTCATGGACAAGAAGAGATACAATAAAGATATATATAAGTATCTGTATACATATACATATACATGTACATATACATATACATATACATATACAATGTCTGTAGACTCAATTACATTTTTAAAATGAAATTCATTTTAATAAACAGTCTTTATAATTATAAAATAATTAAAAGGCAACCTACAATTTGGGAGACAATGTTTGCAAATCATATATCTTATAAATAGTTAACATCCAAAATACTATATAAAGAACTCTTTTAACTCAACAGACAAAACACACAAAACTACATCATCCAATTTAAAAATGGGTAGTGGGTCTGACAGATTAATCACGAAAATCTGATTGCCCACCTCCCTGTCTCCTTTCTCTAATCCTTGACAAAATGCTTCTGTGGCTACTGCCCGTGCCCTGTCCCGCCCGCGGCACCCCACGCTTCAACCCCACCTGGGAGTCCTGGGTTGCCCGACTGCTGTCCGCTTGGTTTGACCGGGCCAAGTTTGGCGTCTTCATTCACTGGGGAGTGTTTTCCTTGCCCAGATTTGGCAGCGAAGGGTTCTGGTGATATTGGCAAAAGGAAAAAATACAAACATTTGTGGACTTTATGAAAAATAATTACCCTTCTGCTTTCAAATATGAAGATTTTGGACCACTATTTACAGCAAAGTTTTTTGATGCGAACCAGTGGGCAGATATTTTTCAGGCTTCCGGTACCAAATATGTTGTCTTAACTTCCAAACATCATGAGACCCAGTTCGGGACACAGTAGTCACCAATGACCGTTGGGGAGCTGGTAGCATCTGTAAGCATGGTGGCTATTATACCATGCAGAGACCAATATGACCCAGAACATCTTCTGCCACACAAGTGGGAAAACTGCATGACAATAGATAAGTTTTCCTGGGGCTATAGGAGGAATGCAGGAATCCGTGACTATCTGACAATTGAAGAATTGGTGAAGCAACTTGTAGAAACAGTTTCATGTGGAGGAAATCTTTTGATGAATATTGGACCCACTAAGGATGGCACCTTTTCTTCAGTTTTTGAGGAGCGATTAAGGCAAATGGGGACCTGGCTAAAAGTCAATGGAGAAGCCATTTATGAAACCAGCACTTGGAGATCTCAGAATGATACTGTCACCCCAGATGTGTGGTACACATCAAAAACTAAAGAAAACTTGGTCTATGCCATGTTTCTCAAATGGCCCACATCTGGACAGCTGTTTCTTGGCCAACCCAAAACTACTCTGGAGTCAACAAAGGTTAAATAAACTACTGGGACATGGACAGTCACTTAAATGGATCTCTTTAGAGAAAAATGGTATTATGGTGGAACTGCCACATCTCCCCTTTCATCAGATGCCTTGTAAATGGGGCTGGGCCCTAGCACTAACTAATGTGATCTAATGTGCAGTGGAGTGGTTCATGCTGCAGTTACATCTAAGACTAGAAAATAGCAGGTTTCTATAATTATAGCACATGGAGAAAGCAAATGTAAAATGGGCCAAGAAAAGTCTAGTAGTTATTTAGGCAATACAGCCCCTTTTCCCCCTTACTCCTTAAATTACCCATGTAACTGTTTTAACTCTCCAGTGACCTTGAGTTCAGAACAGGCCTCAGCAAGGTGCACCACTTTGGAATGTATTATTTTGAGCTGAGGGCAATTGAGACCTTAAGGCTCATGGGAAACTTTTATCTCTCCTTTAAGGAATTTAAATTTGGGGCCTTGCCCATAAGAGTTATCATCAGAGATACATTTTTGGTGTTTGTTTTTAAATATATTTCTCACCATTTTAATGTTTCAAGTAAACTGACAGATCTACAAAGTAAACACAAAGAATACCTTAAAAATCTTTGACAGGATATTTAATTTTGTTAGAATTAATATAGAAATTAATATTAATAACAAAGGAGAAAGCCACAAAATTCCAAGACAATGTTGTTACAAGCCTTCTTGGGTCAGTTACCAATCTTTACCATCTCCACTTAATTCTGCAATCAGAAACCTTGCATATGTTCTCCCACTTTATTTAATACATTTTTGACAAAGAAATGTCAATCATCACTGTACACGTCAAGGAAAGAAATAACTTTTTATGACCTTTCTACAATCAAGCAGGACAAACTTCAAAGCACTGAACATCTGATATTCTTTTCATCCTGCAAAGACCTCCCTCTCTCTAAAGCCTCCATGGGCCTTCCCTTACTCCTCAACTTTAGCTCAGAATGTCATATATGCCTCATTTTAACTTCCTGTCTCTGAGCCTCTCATGTATGTGGAGTTCTCATAT